CCCCAGGAGCTGGCGCAGGTCTTCATGAGCTGCAACCTCATCTCTGGTAAGAGAGGAGAGGAGAACTTGGTGAACTGTGTTGAGTGAATTTGACTAACCTTTGTTTCCCTTTTTCTAGGCATGTTCCAGCGACTGGACCGAATGCGCAAGAACGCCTTCTCCAGCATGATCCTCTTTGGTGAGGACAACAACAGCACCATCAGCGGCGTCTGGGTCTGGCGCGGTCAGGAGCTGGCTTTCCCGGTAAGTGATGGACGATTTTTGGCTTTTTTACCTAAAAGCTAACCCATTCTATTTGTAGCTCGCCGACGACTGGACCGTCGACTACCAGTCGTACGAGTGGAAGAAGCTCAACCCCACCGACGAGAAGACCAAGACGCTGGTGAAGGAGTACTTCAGCTGGGATNAAGCGGAAAGTGCATCAACAGCCCTAGCCCGCCCCTCTCCTCAAATCGTGATCAACCTTACCACACAGCACAGTTAACCAACACAATACCAACTACCACAGTACCAGGGAATACCAGGAAGAAGATCTTTGTGTTTACAAGAGTTTTAATTTATTTGTGTTGCTCTACTCCCTCTGCTCCAACTCCTCCCACTCCTTCCCTTCCTTCATTTTCCTCTCAACAACAGCAAAATTAAAGCAATCCCTTTTATCCTCTGCCAACTCTTTCTGTAAAACAAGGATCCAGGATACAAAGAACAAGAAATCAAGGTTCTTCAGAGGACCAAGTGGTTGTAGTTGGCGCTGATCATGTACTCATTCCTCGCCTTCTCCTCCCGCTTCTCCGCCAGAATCTTGGCCTTGATCTCGAGGAGCGCCTTCAAGTCGCGCCACATCTCAATCTGGCGGCCGTAGAAAGCGCTCCGGGTGGCCATCTCCGCCTCCCTTTGGCGGAGCTCCGCCTGGCGATCTCCTTCAACGGCCACCTCACTCTTGAGTGCTTCGAGAAGTTGAAGGCCTGAAGTTTCCTGGGTCCAAAGATCTCGTTCCGCCTGCGCGGCCAGCCGCTCCGTCTCCAGGCGAAAGTGCTCCGTCTGCTGGCGGGCTCTCTCTCGCTTCAGCCGTTCCGCTTCCGCCTCGGCCCTGCTGAGCTCCGTTTCGAGGCCGGCGGCCGCCGCGTCGTACAGTCGCTTCTTCATGTCGTACTCGTTCTCCAGCTCGTGGTTGACCTGCTTCAGCTGCTTCACCTCCCTTAACAGAGGGGCTAGGCGGTCCTTGACGCCGTCCAGCGTCTCCTCCAGGCGGACGATGCTCGCGTTGATGGGCTCAATGTCCTCGTGGGTGAACTCCGAGCCCTCTTGACCACTACCATCCTCGATGCCGTCGTCGTTGTCGTCCGCCACCAGGACGGCCAGCGAGCTTTCGCGCATCCGAAAGTAGCCGTCGATGCCGACCGCTTCTTCGAGACCGGTTACCTCGCGCATGGTGGCCGCGTCCTGGCGTTTGAGCTCCGCGAGGCGAGATTCGAGGGCGGCCAGCTCGCGGTCGAGTGTCTTCAGCTGCTCACGGCGGTCGGCCATTTCCGAGTCGCGCTTGGAGAGGTTCTCGATGTACTGCTTCAGCTAAAGAGGAGGAGGAAGAAGAAGGAGTTTTTGGGTAAGTTTTTTCACCCAAACATAAAAAATGACCCCGTTACTTACTGCCTCTCCCTTGACCGGCAGGTCGCCGTCCTGGTTGAACTGCGCCCGCAGGCTCTCCAGCGTCGACTGGCGCTCGCAGAGCTCCGCCTCCAGCGCCTGGAACCGCCCCAGCGCCGCCTCCTTGCGCTCCGCCACGGACTGGGCGTTCTGCCGGTAGTGCGACAGGCGGTCCTCGTCCGCGTCACTGGCCAGAATCTTCCGCTCCATCAGACGGCTGATCTCCCCTTTGAGGGATTCAATCTGGGCGTTCACCTTGCCGAGGTACTCCCGGAGGACGGAGTCGGCGGGCTGGGCGGCCACGC